TATATATTATATATTATATATTATATATTATATATTATATATTATATATATTTTAATACAAATTTTAAAATATTATGAAACCTAAAATCAATTTTTTATAATTTTTTAGTATTTTAATTCTTAGAATTTTCAACAAAAAAATTTGTAGAACGTTTGTCGAAAATAATTAAAAATAAGATGAAAATCGGATAATTTTCCTTGTAATTATTCTTACGTATATTTATGTATACTTCTAATTATTTAAGTTCTTTTTTTTTCATGATAATCTGTCATGAAATCAGATAAACTCAATTCAAAAATAAATTTGATTTTTTTATTCAGTTATATTCTTCATTTAAAACTAATATTGTTTAATGTTTAAAACAGATTTTTTTAAAGCAATAATTAAATATATATACTACCTTGTATGAGATCTCCTCTTGAAATAAGTGTACACATATATGCATCATGTGAAAATACATCATGTCTAATTAATTCTGAAAATAAGTGAACCAAATTTGTAAACTGAACTTTTGATTGAGTTGTTGTATTATCTAGTACCGGGGCATCCATATCCAAAAATTTCATAAGTAATGACTGAAAAATCGGAAGCACGGGTGGATTTCCATTACTACAGATACTATCTTTATCATCATTATCATTTGTTTCTCCAGTAACTTCACTTTGTCGTTTTTCCAATAATTTTGCAACTGCCATTGCTCTATGTTCTCCCCATCTTTCTGCACTTACTGCCCATTCACATAAAATTTCAACTACAGCAGAATCTTGTTGCGGATTATATTCTGTTTTTGTATCTCGTTCATTGGCATTATCTTTCAATGGTGATGTAAATATTTTAGCATATAATGTATCTAAAGAATTGCTAGAATCCATCCTATCAAAACTATGCCGATCTAGAGCATCTAATGCAGCTAATACTTTAGTAGTTGTTATTCCAGCACTGCTTTGTTGCCATTTGTCACATGACCATTTTCCTTCAGCAGCTTGAGATCTTGCTCGAATATTTTTTTGAGCAATTTTCAATTGCTTTATTATTGGATTAGTTGCACTTACAGGTGGACATGGCAAAGCTGTAGGAGGACACTGTAGATAATCTAAAGGAGAACCATTTAATACAGATGGTGCTTTTCCTTCACCAACACTATTCCACACTAATGCAGTGGGACATTCTAATGTAATAACCTGGCAAGAAGTTTATTACCATTATAATTATAAATAAATTACTATATTGTTATTATATTAAATATAATTTTATTTCTATTCTAGCATATTTATTTTACAAAAACTATCAATAACACACAACTTTATTTTATCAACATTTGATAAAATAAAAATATTCCTTTTACATTATTTGAGTAAAAAATAGAAAAAATTAAAGAATTTAAATCTATTTTTCTTTAATTGAATATTCTATTATATATTATATTTAATTGAATATTCTATTATAAATTTTTCACTTTCAGATTTGAAAATATTTATTTTTCTTTGGTTATAATATATTAAATATAATATATATAATATAATATAATATATTAATATATATTATATTTTCTTGTATTATTATATTTTATAAATCTTACCTGTATTATTGTTGATAAACTATAAATTACATCTCTGTGATGTGGACAAGACAAATAATCATTAAAAGCAATAGTTAATGGATTTTGAATTTGATTAGCAATGGCAGTATCTTTTCCAATATTTACATCATTTTTACTTATGGTTGGACTTTGTGGATTAGCATTAGTTTCCACATTATTACACATATGTGCCAATTTACGACAACACAGATATGCTAAACGTCTGGCTAATAATTCAGATTGTACAAATTCTTCTAAATATTGTAATGCTAATGGTAACAGAAGTTTCAAAATTCCATTTTCCGAAGGAGAAGATTTAATTTTGTCCAATAATTCTAGAATCCATTGTAATAATTCTTGTCTATCTAATAATCCCTCTTCAAACATATATTTTGCCAATTGTACACAATAATGCCATTGTTTTAGAGCTATTTTATGCTCCTCATTTATGGCATTTCCAGTTATTACTTGATTATTTGAATTTGGTGTAGCTGGTTGATTATTGGCAACTCCATTGTTACTATTAGTATTATTACTGACATTATTGTTACTATTATTATTACTACTATTATTTCCAGTATTATTCCCATTACAAGAATTGCTTGTAATACCATTAGTATTAATATTATTTGTTATATGATTATTTATGTGATAATATTCTTGTAGTTTTGAAAGTTGATCTTTCAAGAACTTAATAAGTGTTCCTGTCCATTCTAAATAAACAAACAAAAAAAAGTTACAAATAATAAATAAGTTCATTTATTTATTTTAAAGAAATATATAATAAACACAAATATTAATCATAAATTATTATTGCATATAAATAAATATATAATATATATAATATATGTAATATATAAAATATATATTATTTAAAATATTAATAAATTATTAAAATATATATGTATACATGCACATATATTTATGTATTTTTAATATTTATAATAAAAATATAAATAAATTATCGCATGAAAGCAAATGTAAATTAAAAATTATAATTTTAAATATGTATCAAATATATTTATTTTTTAATCTATATAATTTTTTGATACATAAATATATTATTTCACATATATATAAATGTATTAAAAAAATTTATAGAATTCTATTTTTTTTGCTAGATTTTAATGGAATTAATTTATATATAATTTAATAGACTTTACCTGTAGTTGGATCAGGTAATTGTCTTTTTTTTATTTTAGCTTCTGATACTGCTACTGTATAAGCAGAGCTAAGTTTAATGAACCAAGCTGCTCGTAGCATTGGTACTTGATATTCGCAAAGCATCATGAATATTTCTTCTTTCTTGTTGAAATTAGGTGCTTTTTTAGCAAGAGCTATCAATGGTTTACATCCAGACAAATCCTTGAACCATGCCTCAATGCCATTTTTCGTTCTGGCAGTTACTGGCCAGAAATTGTCCTTTGGATTAATCTGTTGTCGTTTTCTTGCTGTATCTGGCATTGTAGAAAGTTCTTCTTTTTTTGCCAAAATTGCATTAAAATATGCTCCTACTTTGGCAGCAGTGACATTACAATGTCTTGCAGTACCAAATTCCTCTGACATTTGAGGCATTGTAGCAAAACCAAGTTTAACATTTGTAGATGTAAGTTCATCTTCTTTTTGTTTAGGTTCTTGAGGATAAACGTCAGGCGGCCCTAATTTTGGCCGTTTTAGTGGCCTCTTTTCATACAATATTCCCATCATGGTATAAAGAAATTATCAAAATTGATAGATGTCTTTTGACATTGTTTAAGCATACATTAAGCATAGAGAATTTAATGAAATGATTTCAAAATTATGACTTCATATAAAAGACTACATACGACATATAACCTTTGTTAATGACATATTTACAATTATCCAATATTGTACAAGTAGACACAATCATTACACATATAGAGATTTCTAGATGGCGCGTCGTTATTAGAATTATGAATCTGAAGTATATAAGTATTTAAATATAGAATCTGATTGGTTATTTCTGATAGACTAAAAAAGGCACATCTATTGGTTGAATAGCTAATAATTTCTACAAACAATACAGTATATATAACAGTATAATAACTTCATATGATGGTAAGCAAGCGAAGAATCTTTTTTATTTTTATTATGAACACCAACTATGTATTTTCCAAAAATTTATGTTTCAAATAATATATTTTGATGAATATTTAATACATTTATAAAATCTAACATGATTATAATATGATATGTCTCTTAATATTAATTAAAAATAATTGAAAAATTAAAATAAAAAGATATATTGTAATAAAAACAAGATATTATAATTAAACTTTTAAGAATAAAAATATTATGTATAATATTTATCTATTAGAAAATAATTAAATATATTACTTTTTAGTTATTATTTTTAGTTATTATTTTAAAATTTCTAGTAATACCAACTTAACAATATTATGAAAAATCTCTAGATTTAAATCCAAAATTAATATTAAATTCTGCTCAAATAATAATAAAAACTACATAATTTAGGTTATTTCATAAATATTATAAATTTAGGTTATATTATAGGTAACGTCAATTAAATCACTTTAATATATTTTATTTTTTCTAATATTATAAAATCTTTTTTAATTGTTTTCTTTTTTTTTTTATTTAAACGAACGTAAAATATATATTATTATTTTTTGTTAAGTTTTGTTTCAAGTAGTAATTGTAATCAGTTATTTAGAATAAAACTTAAAGTTGCGCGATTAAGGTGGTACGTACGAAGTGAAGTGCCTAAAAGTTAATAATTGCTTGTAAATACAGTATCTGAATATTATTTATTTCTATAACTACTTTAAATTTCTTTTTAATGTTATATTAATTTTTTAAAAGTCGAAATTTTCTTAAAAATCCAATTCTAAAATTAATTGTATATATAATTCTATTTTATCAAATTTATCTATATTAAATTTATATTGTTAGTCTTAAGTTAAAGTAAAAATAAAATGTGTAGTAAATTAAATAATAATGTGTATTTTCAAACAAACATTAATATGTATATATAATGAAATGTGTTTAACATAAATATAATAGAATTAATAATAATTTTGTTATTTTTCAATTGCAAGATAAATCAAATTTGGTGATGGATTTTATATATTGTAATATGACCCAACTTTTTTATTAAATTATAATAGAACAAATATGGAAAATACGAAAGATGAAATTATATGTATTTCATCTGATGATGATGAAAATATAAAACAGGTTTGTATTTATATCTTGTTATATTAAAGTTAATTATATTATTATTAATAATTATATTTTTTATTAGTTTATAAATTCTTATTGATATCATTTATTTATTTTTTATTATTTATAAACTACAATAAATAAAGAATTTAAAAAGTTATATATCATTATTTTATTATTTTAGGATAAATGTAATGATAAACAAGATTCATTTACTAAAAAATTAGGAAACAATTCTGATTCTCATATAAAAATAGAAGCTTCTTCAAGTAATTATGAAAAACCGAAAGAATGTACATTAAAAAGAAAAATATCTGAAATAAATGATGTTTCTTGTTTTGAAAAAAGCTCAAAAATGTTTATATGTGAAAAAGAAAGCAATGTTAAATTATGTAATATAAAAAAGAATGAAGAAAAAGAAATAAGAAAAGAAAAGCAAGAAAATAAAACATTATTGAAACCAAAATTGATTGTAAAAGAAAAGAAAATTATTTCTTCTGTGGAGCAGGATGTATTTCCTATGTTTATTAGTTTATGTTTGCAAAGAGATCGTTCTGAAGATATGAAAACTATTGTTAATAAATTAAAAAGACGTTATGAGCAATTAGATCCTAAATATGTTAATTCCAAAGCTTTTATTAATTTTTTAAATGATAAAAGAAATGATATAATGAATAGTGATAGTAAATTGTTTGTATATATAGCTGAAGTAATGAATGAAATGAAAAATAGTTATAAAGGAAAATCATCTTTATTATTAAATAACAAAATTCGTTCTTCTGATGGAAATAAATTAAATAAAAATAATAATTTAAATGTAGTTACTACAGTATGTTCAAATATGTCATATACAATTAATAATGTATTTAATGACAATGAAATTATATCAACTAATACAGATAATGAAGAAAAACAAGAAATGGATCCTGCTATACAAAGGAAAATTAATGTAATATTAAAAACAATGGAAAAATGTGAAGCATATATAAAAAAACTTGAAGAATCAGAAATCAATTTTGATGATGAAAATAATAGTAATTATATCAAACTAGAAAAATATAAGTATCGAATGGTGGAACTTTATAACAAATATTGTGAATATACTGGAGCAAATCCTGATGCAGATCGAACATATCTACAACCAAAGCATTTTGGTACTACAGGAATTGTTGCTGTAGATCATGCTATTACAAGTTTCATTAATTCTAAAATATCAAAAAGAAATAAATTGAAAAAAATTGGTGCTTTTAGAGAAGCAATAATTTTTCCAGATTATACTGATATTTTAAGATGTGTTACAAAATGTAATGAATTGCATAATTTAAATTTAGATTATAAAAGACAGAAAAAAATTGGTAAGTTATTAAAATTTTCTTTAAATTCATATAAATATTTTATATCATATACATTTATTATTATAGCAAAAGATGCATTTGTTGCTTTGGGAAAATATTTGAAACAATGTCGATGCAATGATTATTGGGATACATTTTCCTTATTTCTTGAAAATGAAGAAGATGATCCTGCATTGAAAGATCCAATGTTAGCTGAAAAATTGATACAGAACCAAAGAGAGGGTGAAAAGAAATTATCTAATGTTTTTGATACATATGTAAAAAAGCAAGAAGAAATGAAAAGTGAAGACTCTAAAACATCATTAGAGAATGAAGAGGATGAAGAGAATAGTATAGAAAATGATGATGAAGAAGATAATGATGATGATGATGTTAGTGAAATTGATATAGATTTGGATGTAGATAAAGATAAAACTAGTTCAGAAGAAGATGAAAATAGTACAGATGGAAGTGAAACATTTAAAAATAATACATGTATAAAAATAAAATCTAAGATAGAAAAAGATATCACAAAAATAGAAGAAATATGTCAAACAAATATGAATGATGAATTAAAAAATAATAGTAATGATAATTCAAAATCAAAAATTAATAATATTGAGAATATATCTAATTGTAAATATAATTTTGAATTGAAATCAATAGAAAATAATGCAGCATCATCACCTAATATGGCACCACATTTAAATATTTTACCTAATATAATGTTTTCAACTATAACAAATAATGAAATTTCTATTGATGAAACAAAAGGTTAGTGTACAAATATAATATTGGTGGAAAATTAATCATTAAAAAATAAACAAAAACATTTAGATTTTATATATATATATGATGTGTATATGTTGTAGAGGATGATCCTAATATTATGAATAAAGATTCAATGGATGATAAGTTACTACAAGATAAAGAAGAAGAAACAGAAGAAAAACCATTGTTACGAGTGTGCTCTTTTGCTAAACCTCCAGATACATGGAAAGATATACAAGAAAAAGTAGATGAATCTAATGAAAATGAAAATGCATTAACTGTTAAGGATGTAATAGATCTTACACAAGATCTTACACAAGAAAATTCAGCTGTTCATCAATGTTCAACTATTCAGATTGAATCTAAGGTACTTCCTGTTGTAAAAGGTAATTACAAAACATTAGTGATACCAGCAGGTAAAAATATAATTAATGTAAAAAATATTACAAACAATTATGTAAGACTGACAAATTCAAATATTATAACTGCATTAAAAAATGATCCAGTCATATCTCCGCAGCAAAATACAAAATCAACAACTATACATTTGTCATCAAATTTATCCACAGATCAGATAGTAGATATTAATAATCAAATACAAAATTCACAAAATAAACAAGAAAATACAACTGTACAAATTTCTCAATCTAATCAAATTATAATGTTACCTACAAAACAAAAAGAAAGTACCTCTCAATATCCAAAAACGAATTCATCAATTTCACAATCCAAATGACTCATAGAAAAAGTAAAAATAATTCATCGCGACCATTGTTATGCAAAATTAATAAATGATAGATGACCAATGGATTACAGTAAATAAACATATTAATTTTTTTATGGACAATTTGTAATTTATCAACATTATATAAGTATACTAATATATTACACTAGATAAATTTTTTACGAATATTTAAATAAATTTTGTACATTAAATGTTTGTTATAAATTTATTTGATGTTCAATATATAAATATGTATGTTCAATATGTACGATATTATTTCTATATAAGTTCTTTTCTAATCATAGAAAATATTATGTAATATTAGTTTCGTCAAAATAAATTCCTCGTTTGTAAGATTTTCTACGATATCAAAATGATCGATATTTTCTCTTAACAAAATATATTGAACATTATCTACTATTGTAATAAGTTTCTAAAATAAAAAAAAAAAAATTGTAAATTTTTTTTATAATAGATAGAATATTAAAATAATTGAGTAAATTATCACTTATTTAAATAACATGAGTACCTGAGCACACTCGCGTGATTCATTGATAAATACTGGTGAATCACATTCTCCATTGGTTACAATAACTTTTAACCCTTGGATAGAAGGATTATTTTTAGTATTGAGAGTGGTAAAGCTGTATGCGTCGATTTCATTTCTGAAATATATATATTGCGTATTAATATAAATTGAAATATAAATAGTTTATTAAAATATTCAGATACTTACTTTGTAAGTTTTAAAGCTGTATTAGCACTAGTATTGACAAGAGGTTCCAAATTAAAGATACCGCTTATTAACACGATACCTTTTAATAGATACAAGTATCCATGTTTTGTCATTTCATCTAACCATAATTTATCGTATAAAATACTGGATGCTAAATGTGCACCAGCGCTATGGCCAGAGACCCAAACATTCCTATATAAATCCATCCAATTTATAGAAATTTGTAATTTGTATATTAACAAAATTATCATGTAAATATTAATTATATCATACCGACATTTGAGACTCGAAGCAGATTTTAATATATGTGCAATTGCTGTTTTTATCTGCGATATTATATCCCTAAGTTTAACTAAAGTATAAAAAATATGAAAATTAATTAGAATATTTTTAGAATATCGTTTTTAATTTTATATCTAAAGCAAAATTGGAATAAAAGAAAACAAAATTTACCATTAGGACATAAATCGTAACCAATAGTTATAACTTTAATTCCTTTATTAACAAAGACAGGAGCTGCATATGCAGATATATCTTTACTACCTTCTTGCCAATAACCACCATGAATAAATATGAATATAGGAGAGTCTGAAGAAATTTTTAAAATATTGACTTTTAAATTTAACTTAAAATAAAATATTTAAATAAAATTCATTGTTTATATTGTAACAAATCTAAATAGAAAAAAATTCAAATATGAATATATGACGATTAATTATAATGATTAATAGTGATAATAGATTTGACTTATCAATATTTTAATATTTAAATAAATCATTAAAATTTTTATTTTTGTACCTTTAGGTAAGTCAGTTCCATAAATATCATATTTAGTTCCTTTTGTTGTTCCATACGGAATATCGAGTTCACATTTTAAAGTTTTACGAGCATTTTCGGTAACTATAATAATAAATTAATTATTATTTACTTCATAAAAAAAATATCAGCTCATTCCACTTTAAATAATTTTATTATTTTTTTTAATTTTATTTTACCCTCTTTAGAAAATTTACAATAATTTAACAATATTTGCATTTGATCGAATCTTTTGCTCCATTTACTCGGACTATAAAGTACTTCCTGGTCCTAAAAGCAAAAAAATATAGTTCAAAAATAAAAATTCTCTATCAAATTTGAAATTTGTAATTACCGAAGACATTTTTAATAAAACTTCACTATCACTTCAATAATAATTATTATATTATTTCAATAATAAATATTATATTATATTATATTATTATTCTTCTTTTAACAGAATAATAGATGTTCTGTTTATTATTATTTTCACTATTGATAATTAAATTATGCAAATTATTTTTCGGACTTTAGGTTTTTTTAAATATTTTTAAATTTTTAATTGCTGAAAATCACAAATTCATTCCTAAATATAATAAATATTTTATTAAATATGTAACAGACATGTGTTCTTCAGAATTACATTGAAAATTTATGGGAAATACGTTCCATTTGTTAGAGATATTGTCAAAGTAATTTTTATAAAATATAATTTATTCACTTATAATTAACTGTTTTAATTAGAGATGTTAAGATTAATAAAAGGTTAAATTTTATTTTATGAATTCATGATATTAATTTATAAATATTTTTTAATTCTCACGCTACTATCTTATGCCATTAATACATGCAACGACTAGCCTAACTGTCATAAATAATTTATTCTTTCTAGAGAGAGGAGAAAAACAGGGGTATCATATATCTATTATTACTCTACTTACGTTGTTACTTTCTGATATTACTGACTGCCATCTTGTCCTGATATCTAGCAACTGTGCAAGTCAATGAGTTTTATAATTTTTATTATTGAATCTATATTACAAGTGAGGTGCAAAATAGACCTAACATTTAATGGGATTTTAAATATATCTCATATAAATATATCTCATATAAATATAGCTCATCAAAATATCGGTGTAAAAAATCGGAATGTTTGATTAATGATTTAAAACCCTGAATAGATTCAATTCAACTATAAAAGCTGCTAAGTCAGCAAATTTTAAAAATAATTAATACATTCTTTTATAAATATTCTTATGCATATATGTATTGTTTAAACTATTGATGTTTTTGCAATAAAATATTAATGCAAAATAATTTATATATTCAAATTTTATTTCCAGAAAAATATTTCAAATTTTATATTTTTTGGTAATAGCTGATGTCTTATTATTAAAAATATATAAATATAAAATCTACATGTAAAAATGTTCTTCTTTATTTGCATTTTCATATGAGAGAATATAATTTTTAAATAATTCATATTATTTATATTTAAAAAATCATTAAATACCATTATAAGTTTTTAAATTTTTTTATAATTCAATTAATCATAAATTAAATTAATCATAAATAAAATAAGAAACAATACAATCAGTATCAATCATTATATTTTTTTTTATAATAACATCAATCATATAATACAAAAAAATTTTAAAATGGCTTGATGCATTCTATGTTTCGACAAGACAAAAATGAATAAATCGAAAAACCATATTTGGCAGAGAGAGAGCATAAAAGGATATAAAATATAATATATAATGTATACACACAACACATATATATATATATATATATACTTACATATATATATATATACTTACATATCTTATAGCATGCTGTGGTGAAGGTAGCAAGAATAGGCTATGAGGGTCGAAGATATTGAAAACCAGAAAAACCGGTCCTTTCCTTTTGGCCCCACTCTTCCGTAATGCGCCATTCTCCACGGAGAAGTCACAGGTAGGTTCATAGCAGCTGATGTATCGAGTATCGTGCCACGTCGACGCCTACCCACAAACTACAGGTAAGAGAAACCTTTTCCAGTCAAAAATCCCATGATTCAACGGATATTTTGTTCGAGAGAACTGAATAATCCACAATATATGCAAGCAATGGGATTATCAATGATAGTATAGCACGATCATCGAATTCTATCAATCTCTCAATTGAAATGAAAAGCACCGATTTAATCAAATGATATTTATTCGAAATTTGTACAATCATTTCAATAACAAAAAAAATATCTTTCATAAAAGTTTAATTTTAAACAAAAAGATTGTAATAAAAAAAAATTAAAATGATATATAATTCAATATATAAAATGATTTTGTCAATTGAAAATTCTTTGTATCATCTTCATATCTACCTTGATAGTCCTTCTCAGTTTACGTTGTCTTGCAACCGGTTCTCGTGTGCATACTAGGTTAATTTATTTGACCCACCGACTACGCTCATTTCCAATTAGTTTCCACAGCATTAAGTAAGTATCCTTTTATATTACATTGTCTTTGTTGGAATTTAGGATTGGTCCGTAGCTATTAATAATAACGATATTTGTTTGTAATTTAATATTATATAGATATTTGAATCATTTTGAATAGAATATAATGTAAAATATATAGTAGAACGTTTATTAATATCAAAATCATAAATATCTATACACAGTCATAAATATTTTATACACAAATATGCATACATAAATAATTAATTGTAATATGGTTTATTTAAAAATTTTAGGAAAAAAAAAACTTCGATCCTGCCAGGATTCGAACCTGGAATCTTCTGATCCGTAGTCAGACGCGTTATCCGTTGCGCCACAGGACCGGCCTTGATTTGGTGTATTATATATTATTAGAAATATAACATATTGTTAACAATATAATAAATATAATTAAAATAATATTTATTAATTTAAATAATAATTAATAAAATAAAATTTATAAACATAAAAAGTTTAATTAAGATTATAATACATGTATACTTATATCTATAAGTGATATTAATACAATATTAATACAATAATCAGATATGACAGTAACAATTTATGATTTAAAAAATATAAATATTAATTTTTTATGCTACATTCGAAGTTATTTTTTTAAGAATGCCAATACTAATTCTGGTTTATCTATATATAATAATCAAACAAAATGAAGATATAATTATATCAATGCAGGCTCACTGATAGGTAGATAATATGATCCGGCAAAATAAATGATAGAAAAATTTCAATGGAATATGTTAGAATTTTTTATCAAAAATAGATAAAAGCAAAGATAAAAAAAAGATTAAAAGCAAATGACGATATTTAAATATAATACGTTAAATATTGCAAATGTTTATAACAAAAACAATATATATTTAAGATGTAATCGACTGTGTTTGCCAATTAATATATCATATTCTTTAATTTCTATAATTAACACATAGTTAATTATAGAAATAATCTAATTTAACTGATAATATAATTTATTTATTGATTTTATATCAATAATAATTAATTAATATGTATATGATTTAAAATAAATTTAAAATAAATTGATCTATTAGCATTAAATAATTTATAGAGTAATAAAGATAGTAATTAAATATTAGTGATGATTGCTGTTCAGTATAGCATCTATCTAGAACGGTGTAAAATTTCAGATGTAAAGCGATATGTTAAGCTTGGTATTTGTAATATGAAGCATATGATATTTATTGTACAAGTATTTCAATTATTTTTTTTATGTTCTTCTTAATAATCTTTTAAAATACTAACATATTTTATAACAATAAAAAAAGATTAATCGATAAATTTAAATTTAAATTTTGATCCTATTTTGATTAATTTTTTATCAACATGTATATTTTGTTAATATATGATTTTATTTTTATCATTAGACTACATTCAATTAATAAAGATTGAGTTAAAAAACAATGATAACCTTCAATTTTAATAACGAACATGGTATTAATAATATAAGAAAGAAAATAATGTGAATAGTACAATTATCGGCAAAGAAGTAAACTGTAATTATCAATTTTTAAGTGAATTATTTTATCTGAGAAATAAATATATAATGTTCTTTGCAAATTTATATTTGAAAAAAAACAAACTTTTAACAAAAGAAATATTATTTATGAAAAAAGAAATTATTTATGATAAATAAAAAATTTCGTTCTAAACAAAATATTTCATATTTTCTTCTTTCAAAATGCAATATTGTGCTTGAGAGTGGCGTGGATTGCTTTTCAATTACGCATGCGTGCAAGCGTCTGCAGATTTTGCTGGAACCGATGTTAGCCGAATGCGATCGAAACTATACGAATAGCAAGCTAAGTTTCCTGTGATCCAGGCCGACGCGACGGTTAAAAGAGACGAAAAGTGGGGTTAGGTGTAGTAAAGGGACAAGAGAGGAAGAAGGAAAGAGTAAAAGAGGAAGAAAGAAAAAGAGACGAGTTTTCTCATATTGTAAGTGGGGATAGAATCTTAGTGTGCAGCAGAAGGAACGTATAGTTTTGCGTCTCCAACCAGGCTGTATACGATCGACAAGCGAGATAGAGAGAAGACGTTGTACGGTGTATGCAAGAAAGAAGAAACGAATTGACAACGCGAACGTTAGACAGAGAAGAAAATAAAAGGGAGCAGCTTGCGGAACGGCATGTCCTCGCGTGCTCGTGTCGTACAGAGTTTCTGAACGCAGCCATTACGACACAACCGCTCTCGGTGACGCTTTGCTGCGGTAGAACCGTATTCACGCGCGCAGTGGTCACGGAACAATCGAAACTGGACACACGTGTTTTTGAAAATACGAACGAAATTTAAACAGTGTTACATCAGTAACGAAGAAGAATACGTCTATTAACGTGAGAAACGAATTTTTTAAAAGCTGTTTGTTTTGTGCGTGTACAGGGTGGCTTAGGGACGCCTCTTGACGCGCGGCGTCACGTCGCGCGGGTCATTAATAACCCAAGAGTGTCCAATTTGATTTGATAAATAGTCTGATAAATTCGCGATTGAAATAAATCGCTTGATTTCTTGTGATATCGGTTTAGAAAGAGAAAATTATCAACCATGTTTGATGTATTTGGATCCGTAAAGGGACTGCTAAAGCTCGACAGCGTTTGCATCGATAATAATGTATTTCGGCTGCATTACAAAGCGACGGTGATCATATTAATTGCTTTTTCATTATTGGTTACATCCAGACAGTATATCGGAGATCCCATAGATTGCATCGTAGATGAAATACCACTTCATGTAATGGATACATATTGCTGGATCTACTCAACATTTACGATTCCTGATCGAACCGGTGTCGTTGGCAAAGACATGGTGCAACCAGGTGTTGCATCTCACGTTGAGGGTGAAGACGAAATCAAGTATCATAAATATTATCAGTGGGTGTGCTTTACGCTCTTCTTCCAGGCAATATTGTTTTATGTACCACGTTATTTGTGGAAGACCTGGGAGGGTGGTAGAATTAAGATGCTAGTCCTGGATTTAAATTGTCCTGTAATGAGTGATGAATTTAAATCGGAAAGAAGAAAATTATTGGTCGAGTATTTCGCGACGAATTGGCATACACAGAATTTTTACGCATTTCGTTTCTTCTTGTGCGAAGTGTTGAACTTCGTTAATGTAGTTGGCCAGATCTATTTCATGGACTTTTTTTTGGACGGCGAATTTACCACCTATGGCTCAGACGTGGTTAAATTCACGGAAATGGAACCTGAAGAGAGGATTGATCCGATGTCACGGGTATTCCCTAAAGTTACCAAGTGTACATTCCATAAATATGGTGCGTCCGGTACAGTGCAGAAATTCGATGGTCTCTGCGTACTACCGTTGAACATCGTCAATGAGAAGATTTACGTGTTTCTCTGGTTCTGGTTCATCATCCTATCCGTGTTAAGCGGTTTAACCCTGGCCTACCGTGCTGCAGTAATAGCTGGTCCGAAGCTTCGCTTGGTACTATTGCGTGCACGTTCGCGCCTCTCAAAGCCAGAACATATTAATACAATCGCGGAAATGTGTATGATCGGCGACTGGTTCGTTCTTTATCAACTTGGCAAGAATATAGACCCGGTGGTATATCAACAACTCGTTGTGGATCTCGCTACGAAACTTCAGGGCAAAGAATCTGTTTAGTTTCGTTTGTTATATTCATAGAATACCTCTTTTTCTTTTCTTTTCTCGCTTCTTTATTCTTTTATTCGATTCTTGAACATTTAATTAGTCGAGTTGTTCATCATTATAGTTTACCGTATTTTCATTATAGTTTATTCAAAGATTAAAGACCATTTTGAATTACGTTTACTTTTCATATATATATTACATGTAAAACATGTACGTGCATTCTGATATTTTTGAAAAATTTTTCGTAATTCATTATGGCGTACATATAAAATGAATTTCTTCGATCGTTATAAAAGAATTCGATTGGAGGTAAATTTTTGTAGTAAGATATATCGAGCGAAGTGAATGGAGAAATTAATAATTCTTTATTCTTTTTTGTCTCTCTCTCTTTTTCTCTCTCTATCTCTCTCTTTTTAGCTAAACTTTTAGCTAAACGTATTTATAATCTTTACTATAATATCAGATTAGAAATATCAATTTTTGTGGACAATTACTTAACGATCATGATTTTTTTTCACTATCATTATAAAATTTCTCCGAATCCTTTGACTTCAAAAATATTTTTCAGTTATTTTTATTTCTTTTTAATATTTATCTTTTTTCAGTATCATATTTTGTAATTAAATTCAGATTATCATTTAGATGATAATAAAAAACTAAATATAGTGCCAAAAAATACACTAAGATTTATTCCGAGATATCACTAAAGGAAGGAAAACAAACATGTTATTTTTGCTTATATTTTTTAAATCTATTTTTTATTTCCAAAAATATTTTGTTCGGCCGATATCTCTCAATAAATCTGAAAGTATTGGTAATAATGTAAACACGATGGAATGTATAGATATATTTAGCACGCACAAGATAGAGAGAGAAAGAGTTTAGTATTAAATTACTCTGCAAAAAAGAAAGATTACTCTTTCTTCAGAAAGAGACTTCGATTGTGTGATATAAAACGGGAGACGACGTTTTCATTTCTTTTGCTTTCTCCCAACTTTTTTCTGTCATTTCTTTTTTTTTTTTTTTTTTTTTTTAATTTTTTTTCCATTTCCTTGGAATGGATTACCTTCAATTCAATTTTTTATTATTTTTTTTCCTTGGATGAAACAATGTGCGAGAAGAAGAAAAATTGGCAGATGTTGGGTGTCACGAAGTTGGTAAAAGTCCTTTTGTTGCTTCTTCTTCATTTGAGACACGTCGTCTTCCCAGAAATATAATTTCGCTGCTTACCACTTATTATTATTATTTTTTTTTATATCGTAGGCGTAGAAGCATACATCTTGTATATTATAGAACATCTTATAAAATAGAGAATATAAAAATTTATTTTATATATATATATATAAATATATAAATATATCTATATATATAGCAATAAAATGAAATAAACGAGAAGAGAAAGAAAAGAGGATAAAAAAGTGCGCGCATACGAGAAAAAGAGAGAGAGAGAGGAGTGAATGGGATCGCGTGAGAGAGAGAAAGATAGTCAGGCACAGATAATTTAGGAAAGAAAAAAAACGCTATTCGAAAATTTTCTTTATCCATTTTTTCGCTTACTTTTTTTTTTTATTAATATTTTTGATCTATTATTACGATAATTACAATATATATATATTATATTATATATATACAATATGCATCGAGGGACCAAAAGAAAGAAAAGAAAAAGTGGAAAAAAAAAATATAAAAAGGAGGACACCCCTAGATTTTTTTTCTTTGTTATTTCTTAGTATTATTTTTTATTCGTCCATAATTTCTGTCTCATTTTGCTGAAATTAAAAAAAATTTATTACATATTTGAAATTATTGTTAACTGCCGAAATCATTGTAATACCGTCCTACTACTACATGCAATCTAGTTGAAATTTTGAAGATTACGAAAAGATCTATTTTAAGAAAAAATAAAAGACAATAAAAATATGTACGCTTAGCTCTTAAGAATTTAGAAAAAGAAATGTGCGCAAGTATGAATCGTTTTCGCGCCAATATTTTCATTATCAAATGTAGAAATAATACATTCTTTTTGAGAGATTCATGCTCAAAGTAAGACTGCCAAGTAATTGAAACACTCCATATCATCGTGATTCTTATATTTTATATCTATTTAGGATTGTACACGTGAATAGAATTTAGAACATTTTTTCTGATTATATTTGTTATATTATTATATATATATATATATATATATATATATATATATATATAATAATATAATTTATAAATATGTATATATATATATATATATATATATATATATGTACACATATATATACATATTATATACTTCCTTCTCCCTGTTTCATGCCAGTGTTTTTCCTTTCCGATTTTATTTAATTCTATTCGCATAATAACTTCTTAGAGGTGTTTGTTCCTTGTCTTATACTTTTTTAATTTACTTCCGTTTATTTTTTTTTTTTTATATCGATAATTTTAATATTATAACCGATATCATGAATTTAATCTTCTGGTTCTGAGATGTTGAGAATTTTTTTTCCAAGAAAAAAAAAATTTCTCAAATTTTGTTTCCCTTTTTTCTCTCTCTGAATGATTCTCTGTTGAAACATCGCGAAATAATCCACCGGAAGAGGAAGAATCAAAAAATGCTGAAAAGCAACAATCTAATATCCCAGTGCCTTTGGATGCAGTTTTCTAACCTAATCTAACCTAATGTAATACGAAGTGTACTCCAAAGGTTAATTAATTAATTAACACGTTTCGTATCATATAAATTATATCTATTTATCTATGATAATCGATTTAAAATTAAATTTTTTTAACAATATAAATATAAACATATCAATTAGATAAGATTAAAAAAAAGGTTTAAATATCAGCAAATCACTAAAATTGCTCCTTTCCCTAATTATGTTGCAAAGAAATAATAATAATAAACTTGCCAATACTATCAAACTTTTCTTTATCAATATGGAACGTGTTAAATATGAAAATCCCTAAGAGAAGTAAATATCAAACTCTGAACTTATACTATTATTATTACAAAAACCAAGAGAAAAAATAAAAGTGCCTATATTCCGTATGCATTTTGGTGTAATGAATGATGAAATTATATTCGTATATAGTGATAGAGCGTCGGTGCATTGTTCTATTCTAATGAATGCTGCTTAGTGAAGAAACGTAATATACCTGTAATCGTATACATGTACCTTGCGTGTACGTGCTTCCTCGCGCTTGTAGAAGCGATAAGATAAGAGAAACAATTATATATAAAGAAAAAAAATATATATATTATATATATATATATATATAGAATTATAAAAAGCCAGCTAGCCAGATTTGCTGGAATAACGAGTGATAATTGATTAGTAATGACAATTGCCACGTTATATATTTTTTTTCCCCCTTATTATTAATATCCTATTCTTTACTCGTTGATAATGATAATTACTTTTTATTAAAGCGTCCTGCGAAAAAAATTGCATTTTTAATGAAATCGTTATTAGAAGAAGGAGAGCGTATATTTTGCTATTTGCGTTTTCATCAATGCTTCTTGAACATAAACAATGTACTGCCAGAATATTCTATATATTTTCATAAGAATGTTCTACAAAATTCAACAAATAAAACGTCAGCGAGTAATTAAGTAGTTCCCATAATTTCTGACTTTCAGGACCATATTTCCCTTCGTGATTACCGTATATGTATCATTTCAATTATATATGTATGGGTAAGTAACAAATCGTTCGTCAAAAAAATTGAATTCATATATCAAAGATGTAATTAATATTATCAGAATATATATTTTTATTATATTAATATATATATTAATTATTATATTTCAACAAAATTTTTTTGTGTATTTAATTAATCGTAATTAATTTTTAAAATTAAAAACTGTAAATGATAAAAATTTATTATTAGTAACTTTTTGGATCTTTTTTTAATTTATTGCTAGAAATTGAATGTAGTATTTTAAGAAATAAGAAAATTCTATTGGTTAATGTAATTTTTCTTAATATTTTTTTTAAAATTAAAAATTTTTCTAGAAAAAGAAAATCAATTTTCAAAAACTATAAGGGAATTAAAAAATTTCACAATTAAAAGTAACTATTATAATATATATATATTATATGTTATAGTATATAATAAATCTTATATGTTATATATATAGTATATAATAAATCTTTTTTATGAAAAATTAAATATTTTTTCTAGAAGAGAAAAATATCACATTACATATAAAAAAATATCGTCACTGCTGTGTTCATTTTTGGTAAATTTAACCAATAACGTATTCTACGGATGGAATTTATTAAACTATGCAATCTCTAAAAGATTTCATTGTACGTGCACGTGTACCAGTCAGGGATTGACGATCATCGAAACGAACTTCGATGCTCGAGGTCCAACCAATTTCGGTTCCCTCTATATCACATTAGGGGACATGAAGATTATTCTCATTTTACTGATTAATACGTAATTCGAAGCATAGCCTTAACATTAAATCGAGCCATTATCTCACGTTCGAGATATTTTAGATTCAACAATTTTTGCAAAATCTCTTTATAAAAGAAATTTTATATTAAAAATTTTTGTATAGAGAATAATAAAATAATACTAGTATAGTTTTGTAAAAAAAAAAAATATTGCATCCTGTCCAATTTTTATTTTAATTTATTTCCAGTAAAGTAAGGTTAAAAACCATTAGTAATAATAGATAGACATTCTATAAATATTTAAAATCGATATATCATTGTGTTGCAAGGAAATTTTAAATTAAAAAAAAAGATAATATATTTATTTTTTGTAAGATTTTTATGTAAACTTTTAACAAATTATGATATAAAAAATATATTTAATAAATTTCAACATTTTTATCATTGCTTATCGATAAGTTACATTTAAATAAAATAAAAAAAATGTTAGCAATTTCTAAAGTAGATAGATCAGATCATTCAATTTTTTTCACTTTTACTAATTTTTACAGTACTATTTTTATATTTATGACTAACGTCATATTCGAAATAAAATATAAAAGAGGACTACTTATTATCACGTATAAAATAAAAAAAATATATTTATTGGAAAAAAAAGATTATTAAGACTACTTATTATTTTAATTTATGATTATATATTAAAATCACTTTTCAAATTTTAAACGTAATGTTAATTATTCGATAATTCTTTCACGATTTTCTTTTGCGAGAATTATAAATGAATGGATCAGGTATAGTAAGAAATAACGATGGAACAAGATATGTATAATACATGTACACGAATTGAGAGACCAGAGGACAGAATTTTCTTGAGAAGATCCGTTCAGTTTGCCGGTTAGAAGCGACCGCATCAGGGGCAACGGCCGGTCAAAGTCCTAGCTTCGACATTCTATCCCCTCCATTTCTTTGTTCCCTGTCTTTCTTGTTCACCATTCCTCCTTTCCCTGCGACTTTACTCCTCTTCCACCTTAAACTTGTTCCTTCTCGTCTCCTTATCTTATTTGGTCTTTTTCTTTTTTTCTTTTTTTCTCTTCCTTTCCTCTACATTTATGTACTTTTCCTATCCTTCTTCGATGCTTGTAATTTTGACCGTACTTTCGTTCCCTCCCGTTTTTTTCTTCTTTCAAATTTTCGATTTTATATAGATTATTTGCTTTCGATGTATTTTTCGAATTGATTTTCTATTTTCAAGTTTTTTTGCGGATTTTTTAATTTGATATAGATAAATTTAAGAGGTAATAGGAAAATAACGGAATTACAAAAAGAAAATAATAATAATAATAAAAATAATAAAAATAAAAATAAAATAATAATTAGTATTAAAATATTAATAATTAAATATTCATATAACTTTTAGAGATATTGAAATATATTTTCTAACTTTTTTAGTTATTAATAAATTGTGTAATTTTGAGATGATTATGCATTTATATAAAATTTAAATCTACAAAAATCTACAGAATATATATGATATTTAAAATATAGTACGTATTATGATAATTGAAATAAATTTCTACTTAACTTTCCATTTCTTTAGTTATGTTTAATCTAAAAGGTATTTACTTCTCTATACATATTAACAAATTATCTTTTTATTTGATCGATAAATGATTAATTCATCTAATAAAACTAGCCTTTGAAGAATTTTTTATATTAAAATTTTATGCATATATGTAATTTTCATTATATATTATTCATAAAGTTTATTGTTGGCCTACATGAAATTTTAATCTTCTAAAAATTAAGCTATATATGTATAATTGATTTTAATAATTAAAATAAAAGAAAATATTTAAATTCTCCAGTTGCAAGAACAACCAACACAATAATTTCAAAAGAAAAAATAAATAACTTGAAATATGATAATTAGGTTATGATTAATTAATCTAAAAAAATATCTACAATTAGAGTTGTTTTTTTCTTATGTTATAGAAATATTTA